CATCGGGATGAGCTTATATCTTTAAAAATGTCAATAGTTCACGAGATACAAGGTCATTGCTTAATTATGTATCTAGAGACTATAGAGATAGAGCATTTTCGAATCCAGCCTAAATACTTATCATAATAAATTAACTATCGGTGAGAATAATATAAAACCTTGAAAAGGTACAACTCCAGGTCAAGACTTCCAACGAAATCAAATTTAAGGTAAGGATAAAAACCCATTTTATCATATAAATACACTGGCCACAAAATTTTGCTTATTCTCTTAATAATATAGATTATTATTATAATTATTTACAAGTAACTCTAATCTATAATTGTTAATTACAGTTGTTGGTTGGTTTTCCTACCAAACAATATTATTCATCATTGAGAGAAGAAAGACAAAAAAGGAAGGAAGGAAATGACGATTTTATAATATTCAAGGTACGTCTGAGGTTTTCAGTCAGTGTAAAAGTTATTTTTTTAATTATTCAAATCCATTTCAGACACGAGGACAGAGGAAGGTTAAATTTATCGTGTATTCGTTTTTTACAATCATTTTTATTTCGTCTTTCGGTTTATCTGTGAGAATGATATAAATACGGAAGGATGAGGATGACTGTGTTTTATAATTGAGCTATGGCGAGATTTTATTATTATTATTATGGTTAGACATAAACTGCTATTTTGTTCAGTATCTTGACTAATTTTTTTTTGTTAGGTATCCAAATTTTGAATACTACTCCTTATCGACCGTTGATATTGACACCTTTACCTGAGTTTGGTGGCACAAATCCAAAACCGCTGGCTCCTACTATTACGCCACTGGTTTCTACCCGGTCTGGTTCTGGTCCTCGTGGAAACAGTACAGGCCCTGCAAAAAATTATTGTCATTATTATTATTTTGATAACTAAATATCGATCTTAAGAACATATTAAAATTTCATGAAAATCAAATGAGATCTTTGCAAAAGAGAACGCAGTGATCTTAAGCGTCAATTTACAATTTTTTAATAATTTTACATCAAACAGAGAAAATAATAATTATCTACTGAAAAATTACAGAAATAAGTTTAAAAAATAATACTAATTCTAATTTAGGAAGAATTGATTTTATTTACAATTCAATTTTGAAGCTTATTTAAATTTTTTCGAGGATAGTATTTTTTTATACGTATTGAACGCCTTCTTTAGTTCCAATAAATGAATCATAAAAAAAGAAGTAATTAAAGACTGTATTACTGAAATTTTAATTTCACAACTTCCCATAAGTCAGATAAGACGATTAAAAAATAAATTGAGTTGAAAAATCTACACAATAAGTTATTCCAACTACACAGTAAAAAATTTTGCTTGATTGCGTCAAAAAATTTTGTGTTAAAAATTTTTGTGTTAAATATTTAACACTTTTATATGTAAATTTAACATTTATTGTGTTAAATTAACAGAGAAAAGTGTTAAATTAACACAATAAAATGTTAAATATTTAACATAAAAATTTTTAATACAAAATTTTTTGACGCATTGACACAAAATTTTTTACTGTGTACTTTTTTATGTAACAACAATAATTAATTATCAACGATTATCTTTGTATCTAACGGTGCGCACTTATAGTTAAACATGTGCTTGTAATATTCTTTATATGTACATTATGATTGTCAAATTTACTGTGACACAACGATGTGATAAATATCGCTATCATACAGTAAAAAATTTTACGTCAAAAAACTTAGTGTTAAAAATTTTTTTGTTAAATATTTAACACTTTTATGTGTAAATTTTACATCAATTCTCTTAAATCAACACAAGAAAAGTTAAATATTGAACATAAAAATTTTTAACACTAAATTTTTTGACGCAATGACGCAAAATTTTTTACTGTGCACGATTAATAATTCAAAAATTAATTGAAAATAATTATATTTTGATTTTGAGAGTCAATATTGTCCAAAAACGTATAAAGACACTCAATAAAATTTTTAATAATATATTATTAATTTTATATTAAAAGTACAATAAATTGTTATAATAATAATAACTATGATTATTTTTCATAATAATTTTAAATGTTTGAATTTAGTGAAGAAATATTAAAATTCGATTGAAATAGTTTTCATTCAATTAAAAAAAACTGTTACTTTATGCAATGAAAGTAGATATTACCGTTCTTTCTGAAAAAAAAAGTTAATAAACTGCATAATTTATTCCCGCAACTCTCAAGCCGATACTTATATCTCTTCGACTTTATCCATTTTTATCAGCGTAACCGTACATTGTAACAAAAACGTCAAACGGTGTGTGAAGAAAAAAAAATTAATTATAAAAAACCTCGTATGCACTCTTATTAAAAGTAGTGTGAAATGATTCATGCAAAATAATTCAAAGAAGCGTGTTAATGCTTTAATAAAAAAAAAAAGTAATTGTAATTTCAGAACAACCTTTCTGATTTCTACACTAACAATCATATAAACAATATTGAGCCAAATAAATCTTAAATATTCTGTCAATTAATACCGTAAAACTTGCCCGTAAATTACTGTCAAATAGTTAAAAATCAGTGACATGGAATTCGAACCATCGGAGCGTAACGCGAAGGTCAACGATCGGCAAGATAGTGTTTATGATTACAAATGCATATGATTGCCGATCTGGCTTATAAATTGTAACCAATGTTGATGTATAATCTGCATTAATACCAGGTTTGTACCACGGAATAACAGCAACACTATAGGTGTATCATTGAGCTATTGATAACAGCTGGTATCTGGCATTAACAAACACTGGTAGCTCTTACCGGTGTTAGTACTGTATGTGTTTCTACAGAATAACTAATTCATGCTGGATGGTAAATAAATCGTGTGTCAGTGAAAGTAGCAGGTACCGGTCATTAATTTAATGGATGAAGACGCTCGCTTTAAAAGGAAGTTACTTTTTCATAGTTGATGGTGCTATGCATAAATTAGTTGTACATATCATCCCATTTTACGGATCACTTATAACAATAAAAAAAATGAATAATTCCCCCATGAAAAAAAAAAAATATAAAAAAAAACTATATCGATGGTCTAATTAGCAATTTATCTAACTCTTTATTTTTTAGAGGGTGATTTTTTAATATTTTGATGCAGCCATAATCAAATTATAAATTATTTGAATGATTCAAACCTAAATATTATATCTCTAATAGATAATAATGATATTAAATGGTTTTTTAAAGTGATAATAAATTTTGAACTAATTGTTTTTTTCGTACAAATAGAAGATTCTCTAAAATAGAGTTAGACAATTTGCTAATTAGAACGTCGATATGTCGAAATACATAAAAAATATATGAATATCTATAAATTATGTACAGTAAATATATTTTTAATAACTAATTTTTGGCCGATTTTTATATATATTTCAAATATATTTTAGATATATTAAAAATATGTTTTTTTTATATTTTCAGGTATGTATTTTTTATGTATTTTAAAATAATATCTTGAATATATCTAAAATATATTTAAAATATATAAAATATGTATGAAAATCGACCAAAAGTTAGTTATTAAAAACATATTTTACTATATATTTTTTTTTATGTTTTTTATATTTAAAATATATTTTAGATATATTTCGACACATATTTTTTTAATATTTTTTTTTATGGGGATTATGATGATGATAATAATAGTCTTTTCTTACCGGTGTTAGATCGAGGATCTCTCATCGGTGTTACGGCTCGGTAGTAAGGCCCGAAATCCGAGAAAAATGAGTTGTAGTCATATGGGATCCCCATTGCGCTTGCTAACACAGTCATGATTACGGCAAATATGGCGGTCTGAAATCAAGTTACGTAAAAAATTTATTAGTTAATAAATTTGATGAGCATTGACTTGATTAATAATAAATAATTTATGGTGGATAGTTTGTCCAGTAATTAAAATTAATTATAGGATAAAATTTTACTGTGCATTTTATTTAAAAATTATAGTTTAATAAATTTATACCTCTATAAGGATAAGGTGAGCTTGTGAAAGTAAATTTACAACAATTTACAATTATTATTTAATTTATCAGTGTCTGGCAATAAAACTCTGAAATTATTATTATTTTTATTATATTTTTCATTCTATGTATATAAAATACTATTTTGTTATAAATATACAGTAATATGTGTAACGCTTTTATAAGTAGGTAGTTATTATTCTTAATAGTTATTATTCAGAAGTTGAAACTCAATAAATAATTCATGTTTACAAGGAAAAATTTTTTAGATTGTTGACATTGATTTTTATTTGAATTACATTTTTAAACAAAAATTTAATTTCAAAGGAAATAAAGCGGCTAGCTATTTATGGAGCTAAATTTTATTGAGATGTCTTTTTGGCTTTTAAGAAAAAAAATTATTTTTATTTCTTAACAATTTGCTTTTGAGTGCAAAGATTTGGACTTTTGACTACAAAAATTAAACATTTCGTAAATTAAAAAAAAATTATTGATTTCAATTAAACTTTAGAAAATAAAATTTTTATTAACTTTGTTTATTAATAATTGCAACATGTTAATTAACATATTCACCTCTTAGACAAATAAGAAATTTAAATATTACATTTTTTTCTTATTCTCATAGATACACCGAGGAAAAAAATACTTTTATTAAGAAAATTTTCTTGATACAAGAATTCATGTTCTTGAAAATCTTCAAGAATATATATTCTTAGCTCAAGAACTTGTTAAATTGATTGAAATAATTTTCACTTAATTTAAATAAAGCTATTCTCTTGTTTATCTATTATTCAAAGATGAATATTGATGCTCTTCTCTTCAGAAATTAATAATTAATAATAATAGAGTATTTGATCGTCATCGGATTTCTTGAAACAAGAAATTGTTAGTTGGGTAAAAGCATTTTTTTTTCTCACTGTAGCCTGATATGACTATATATGACCATGTCATGTTTTTCTTGTTTTGTTACTTTTCATTGATGAATAGTGAATATAGTACACTGAAAAAAAAAAAAAAAAAATTAATTTGATTCTTGAATCAAGTAAAATTTACTTAAACCAAGAAAAATTTCTTAGTTTAAGAATTTTTCTACTCAAATTAAGAAGATTGAATTCTTCAGAATTATATACTTGATTCAAGAACATTTTTTTTTCTGTGTACTGTTTTTAACCACTTTAAATTTTAGTTAATTTGTAAAAAATTCCACTATTATAATAATATTTTTAAACTTTTATATTTACACGAACCAAATTTACAAAGTTTTACGTTTATAGAATTATTTATAGAAGTGTCTATTTACACGTAAAAAAATCCTGATAAATTTACACAGCGTAAATTTAAGTCCCTTACATTCACGCGGTGTGGATTTATCAGGACTTTTATACGTATGAATAGATATGTCTATTATTTATACAAATAATTTAAACACAAAGTGGTCACAAATGTTACTTTTACCGTAGCCAAAAAAATTGACGAGTTGAAATTTTGTTTTGAATAAAAATTTATCCCTCAAAAAATTGTATTTTTTCCAAAAAAATTTTTTTTTCCCTCATCTTAATCTCAAATATCTCTGAACTAAGTCTTATTAATAATCCCCGATTATCATAAAAATTTTTGCATAATTTCATTAAAGCCAGTTAAAAAATCGGCTTATATATCACTTTAATAAAAGATGAGTGACTTGACGTGTTATTATATAATAATTATAGTGTTATTATATGTCAGTACCCGAATAATAAATAAAGATTACCTCAACCCCCATAAATATTAAAACCTCTAAATTAAATTTTCGTATCTGAATAACAAGTATATTGAATAAAAGCAATAAATAAACTAAACTAGACTAAATAACGAGAGATCAACAGGTTTCGCCCAAGCCTACGTTCATTCATGCGCGAAACTAAAATCTATTAATTTCTCGCATATTTGAATAATATACGAATTAATTATTTACGGCCTCCTCGTAGCCTCTTACTCGGTTAATTTCGTAACCATTAAATAAAATAGTAGTCACTCGACACTAGAAATAAGCTTATAAATCTAAATAAATACATTAACGAGCGATTACTTGTATTGGATAGGCGACTAAATCTAAGCACACGTTTTAAATGACAATTTTAAATAAAATAATCCCGCGGATTAATTACACCTTTTGGTGGGTTATTATTTAGAGCAGGATACCATATTTGCGTGACTGTTAACCATGTGTACTAATAGGTATTATGTATTATGTATATAAATGGATAATAGATAAATAAAATAATTTTCATTAGAGCTGTTGGTAACAAAACGTGTATTGAAAGGAGGCAAATGGGTAAGGAATGTTCACACGATACATGAGTATAGTCATATATGCGTAACGACAATGATCAAACCGTACATTAGAAATATATGTGTACTACAACACTACTTGCCAATTTACTCAGCTACTTTATGACCTCTTAATGAAGGGTTTCGTGTGTATACTGTTGTGTTTTATAGCAAATATAAAAAAGCATTACCGTAACTTCAAGGATTCCTTTTTATTAACCTGAACATTGTAAGCAAATTATTCTGCAAACTCTATGTTTGTTATTTGTTACTAATACCGAACTATTGCGCTTTGATTCCTTTAAACTTAACGGTATAGTAGTATAATTAGTATAATCCTGATTCGTCGGTTTAGCTGAACGATCTTTCAATTTTTTTTATTTAAACTTTCCGATATATTAACGATTTATCGCTTTCGATTACTAATTTGTCTGGATAAGTTTTGTAATCCGTGTCCTTGACTCAGTTTTGTGGTAGGCAAATACTAGTTTTTCGAATTTATTTAAAAATTATTAACTTAACAGCACATTACTTACAGGGTTTTATGGACAAATTATTTTTTATTTTTAATTTTATGTTAATAAAGATCTAAAGTGTAGTGTAGATTTATTTATAAAATCCTCTATTTTATATTAAATTTATTAATTTTATGTCTCTTTAGCTGTTATTAAAGATAAATTAATAATTAATAGTATAAATCCAATTCATTTAAAAATACGAGACATTTTTTAGTCAATACCTCAACATACTAGATTGCATTTAATAAAATTAATTTAATTGGGGCGGCAGCCCAATTTTAAAATACAGTAACTGCAAAATTTTGATACCTGATTTTTTTTTAGTATTCCACCAAGAAAAAAAAGGTACTGCGCATGTATTGTAAACGAACCTTATTTACATAGATATAGATAGGATTTTTAGTTTATTGCTAATTATAAATAAGCTACATTGAATTAAACCGTGATCTTCGAAAGGACTTAGTTTTAAATAATACTGAAGCGTAGAAAAAAAAAATAGACTTGATCAGTTAAGTTTTTCGGCAGTTATCGTGATCACGCCAGTTTTCATACAACATTTAATTTATTTATTTAAAAAGCAAAAAGTCTTTTAAAAATGTTATGTGTTGAAACTATTTTTTTTCTATGACATTTATGTGTAAATATTGTTCTACAAGTGCGATAGAAAATAAATAGAGACAATTTTAGTTCACGAAATCGCTTGATTTTTGTAAGGCGAGTGTAGAGCACAACCTCATTCGCTTCGCTTATGAGGCATGCAATATTTGAGTCTTATTTAAATATTTGCACCTCAAAAACTGAATCTCCTTAAATGTAACCAACTTAAATTCTTATTAGCATAATTGCCGTCAACCAAAACTCGAGTCTCTAAATCACAACATTCAATCATTAAAGATAAAGTAACGTCAAGAAGTTTCTTCACATATTCATACATATATTTACGTAATGCGGTCACTGAAACGAAAGAAAAAACGCAATAGTCGCTCCTCCTTGCTATCAACTTTACTATGTTTGCTGAAAATAGAGTACACACTGTAAGTACAGGCATTAACGTGTCTAGGTAACCATGAGGAAGAGTTTGGTTCGTTTTCTAAAGCTAATACGACGTGTTGCATGTTGTACGTTATATATGTTAATATTGTAAGATTTACGACCGAAAAGTTTCTCTGTAACTGAACAAAACTGATTTAATGCGTTACGTATATACAATATCAACTGGTGATTTAAAAGTATTTTACATTGTGGTATATTCACCGATTCGATGCACCGCGGCCGCGGGTGGAATCTTATAAAGTACGTAGTTATTACCCTTGCATTATTTATTACGCCTTATGATCCGGCGATAATAACATTATCTTGAATAAATCATTTTATTCGCGCAATTTTGAGCTTTGTTTTTTTTTTTCTTATCACGATTTTAAAATGTTCTGTAATTCGTAATGATGAAAATGATATAATAGGTGCAGGTAATTTTGTTTTAACATTTGTCGAAGATAACTTTTTAAGTTTTAAAAGTGTTAACAGGAGAAACAAAGTTTTTATGCGAACATTCAATGGGTTTACTATGCTAATTTAATGTCTTACTTGAATTTCGTCATTATAGGATAGGATAGAAAAATATAGAGTGGTTTTATGTTGTATGTTGTGCGAAATTGCATATTCTTACGCGCTAACACCGTACTTCTTTATTACAAGCATAGCCCGAAGATTTTATTTATCGTAAATGTGAGTGTAAAAAAACGCGTCATGTGAGAAATTTATTACACTACAGGTAAATTGACCTTGCTATGTCTACACATGTGATTTTATCCATAGGTTTAAATCTTATGTCTTAATATTAAACATTAAAATTTATGACAAGTAATTAGCCTAAATTTGTAGTGGTTAAATTTTAATCAAGATGTTTAAGGCTTCTGGTTTTGAAATCATACTATTTTTTTTAGGATAAAAATTCCAGGTGTCAATAATTACATCAATAGAAAAATATGTACTATTATTTGAATTAATTGATAGTTAATTTAACGAAGAGAAAATAATGTTATACAATAAGAATTTACAATGGTTTTATTTTATT